TGTCCTTATAACTGGACTTAACTGCAATTACAATATTTTCAGGTTTCCAGATTGACTGTTGGTGTAACATTTGTCTTTTTATTTTGAGTAAACAAAGAACATTAATTGTACAGCACCTTTTGCAACCTGAGGACCACCCAAAGAAATATACAGCCAATGAAATACTTTTGTAGATTATTTCTACATTACAACAATGAATGAATAATGTGACTGTCAATCTGTACTAACTAGAAGCAATCTGTTTTATAAACAGTATTGGTTGAGGAATAAATATTGGCCTGGACACTGGGACGAACTCTTATGCTTCTCTTTGAGTAGAGTGGTGATTCTTTTGCATCTCCCTAAGAGGGTTTATGGAGCCTTGTTTTAATTTCTTATGGAAAGACTGCAGCTCTGACAATGCAGTTTTCTGACTTGGTTGAGAGTTTTTTCACTGCACCATGGCAATGCTTGTGTTTTACAATAAAAATATTAATGACAAATAGATCACATGGCCTTTAAGAGCTGCACATTGCAGCGTATCCTGGGAGAATTGAAAAAAGCGTAGCAATATTTTTCTAGGACATGAGGTATTTTCCAAAGACATTGGTTCAAGTTGCAATCCAATTCTATGGCCCTGACAGCCAATAGTGAACTATCTCCTGAAGTGTGGTTGATTGCTGGCTGAAACTTAGGCTATATAAAATTTGGTTTTGAATTTGGGAAACAATTTCTCTCCTACAAATTGCATTTCTCCATAAGTTGGGCATTTAAACACTTCACAACATTCCCCCCAATTTCATATCATACTTTACTTCGAAAATTGTCCATTTGTAAAATGCATTGTGATTGGATTGCAGCCGTTTTAACAACTCTAGAATATCCTTTAAACAGTTGAGTAAAATATTTTGCAGAAAACTAAAGCATTTTTTGAAAAAGGAATAAAAGCGCACAATCTGGGATCTTTTTGCAGACTGTGGCACTTTAACAGTTTCATGCTCCTGATGATTTATGATTACCTGCAGCAATCACATTTGCCTGCATGTTGCACAGCACACTTTTTTCGCACCAGGTAAAGCAGCAAAAATATTTATTTGCAATTTAAAATACCTAAAGAATATAAACGTATTCAATTAAACACAGTATTTTGAGGTTAATGCAATTTGTTTGTATAGCTTTGTCAAGTGAGCAACAATAAATTGTTCCCAATCATCAGGCGGCACGATGACTCAGTGGTTAGTCTTGCTGCCTCACACTGCCAGTTACCCATGTTCGATTCCACCCTCAGATGACTGTCTATGTGGAGTTTGCATATTCTCTGCCTGAATTTCATCCGGGTGCTTCACTTTCCTCCCACAGTTCAAAGATTGCAGGTTATGTGGATTAGCCATGCTTAATTACCCATAGTGTCCATGGATGTGCAGGCTCAGTGAACTATCCATGGCAAATGCAGGGTTACACGGATATGGTAGGGGTCTCGGTGAGATGCTCCTCGGAGGGGCAGTGTAGACTTGATGGGCCAAATGGCCTGCTTTCACACTGCAGGGCTTCTTTGATTCTGTGATCTATTGTTGACAGGTGTGCAACCACCAGCAATTAGGCTATTTTAAAGCTCTCGTGTGTATAAAAGCAAATGTAGTTAATATTGCAAGCTAATTGCAATAGTCGTTAATGCCATGTTATGTGGCCACATAAGCAGAATAATATAGTTTTTCCTCTGAAAATCACTCCTGGCAATTATGGTCAAATGAACAACACCTGAAGACCTTGTGTAAGTCTAGTACTTTTTAAATGAAAAGTTTTCATGGATCTCGAGGTTTAACATCTGAATAATTTGTCCAGTGATTGCTTAATATTGATTTCTTTTAGGGAATGATAACGCCCCATTCCTGACCTTGAACACAAAAATCAGTGCTGCACTGGGGAATACAGCATTGTCAGCAGAGCTTTTGTTGCTTTCAAGTGTGATATAAAATGAGTTCCTCTATAAAAAGACAGCAGATATGTATTTTTAAAGTTACTTTAAAATTTGAAAACCTTTGTGTATGTGTCTTACAAACATTGTTTCCCTTAGAATTAATTAGAAATTGGACCTTGTTGCACTTGTTTCTGTCACTCAAATGGGGACCAGTGGTTCAATTTTGTGGAGCTATAGTCTGTGCTTCAAGTCCTTAACGTGCATCTCCAGCAGATATTTTCTAGCCAACCTGTTAGGAGATGTTAGGTGGTATGGTGGCTCAGTAGTCAGCAGTGCTGCCTCACAGAACCAGGGACCCAGTTTCAATTTTACCCCTGGGCAACTGTCTGTCTATGTGGAGTTTGTATATTCTCCCCGTGTCTACATGGGTTTCCTCCGGGTGCTTGGGTTTCCTCCCACAGTCCAAAGATGTGCAGGTTAAATGGATTGGCCATTCCAAAATGCCTGTGGTGTCCAGGGATATGCAGGCTGGGTGGACTTGCCATTGGAAATGCAGGGTTACAGGGATAGGGTAGGGGTCTGGGTGAGATGCTCCTCAGAGGGTCAGTGTAGACCCGAGGGGCTGAATGGCCTGCTTCCACACTGTAGGGATTCTAAGATAGTTGCCTCTGAAACTGTGGCTCCTAGCTCAGATGTAGAGACATTCCTGCTGTATCTCCAATATTGTAGTGCCTTGGATGATATTCAGTTGTCACCTGGTTGCCTTAAATGATTTAAGATTGGGACCCTTGCATATGCATAGGGACCTGTCATCCATAGATTGTGAAATAGACCCTTCGGTCCAACTCGTCCATGCCGACCAGGTGTCCCAATGTTAACTATTCTCATTTGCCTGTGTTTGGTCCATATCCGTCTAAACCTTTCCTGTTCAGGTACCTATCCAAATGTCTTTTAAGTGATGTAACTGTGCTGCAGCTGCCACCTCCTATGGCAGTTCATTCCACATTTGAACCATCCTCTGCATGAAAATGTTGCCCCTTGGGTCCTTTTTTAAAGCTTTCCCCTCTCACCTTAAACCTCTAGTTTTTGACTTGCCTACCCCTGGAAAAAGACGCTGGCTATTCACTTTATCCACGCCCCATGATTTTATAAACCCCTGTAAGGTCACCCCTCAGCCTTTGATGCTCTCGAAGGGGGAAGTCTCTGTCGACCATCTCCTTATAATTCAAACCCTCCAGTCTTGGCAACATCCCTGTAAATGTTTTCTGTCCCCTTTCTACTTTAACAACAACCTTCCTATAGTAGGCTGACCAGAATTGAGCACAGTACTCCAAAAGTGGCCTCACCAGTGTCTTGTACAGCTGTAACATAACATCCCAATTCCTATATTCAGTGCTCTGACTAATGGAGGCAAGCATGCCTTCACCCCATCTACATGTGACACCAGTTCCAAGGAATTATGAACCTGCACCCCTAGAGCTTGCTGTTCAACAACACTCTTCAAAGCAGTGCTGTTAACTTTATAAGTCCTGCCCTGGTTTGCCTTAACGAAATGCAACAAATTGCATTTATCTAAATTAAACTCCATCTGCCACTCTGACCCTTGGTCCATCTGATCAAGATCTCTTTAGTTCACATTGAAGATGGTTATCTATGCCAACATTTTGGTGTCATCCATGAACTTAATAACCATGCTTCCTATGTTCTCATCCAAATCACTGGTATAAATAACAAAGAACAGTGGCCATCACTGGGGATAAGGCGCTCAGAAAGCTGAAAGGTCTGAAAGTGAATAAATCACCCAGACCAGACAGACTACACCCTAGGGTCCTGAAGGAATAGTGGAGGAGATTGTAAAGGCATTGGTGGTGTTCTTTTAGGAATCACTGGAGTCATGGAGGGTCCCATAGGACTGGAAGATGGCTCATTTAAACAGGGCTGTTACGAAGCAAGGGAGGAAGAAGAGGAAATTATGGGCCAATTAGTCTGACCTTGGTCAGTGATAAGATTTTACCATAAACGGGGCTCTCTTGGAACTTGAGGTATTCTGGTTTTCCCTGTCATGCTGTGCTTTACTTCTGGTCCTTAAAGGGACTACCAACAAAAAAACAGATCACTTAACTTTGCTTGTGTGAAACCAGGATAAATACTTAACCTTGTTCTGGCTTCATGATCTTTAAGGCTGCCGGCAGCCAGCTTCTCGCTTTTTTTATTCTACAGTTGCATTTGGCCTAAGATGATGGAGAATCAACTGGCAAATTGCCGCTTGGTGCTTGTAATTATCTGACATTGGTATCTGACATCCATTCTGGTTAGTTTTTAGGGCCTAAATATGCCTAAAGTGTTTTATAGCTCATTGGTCTGTCACCTGACCCAATAGTCTCCATTGGTGCTCACAAAACTAACTGACAACTGAAACATTGAATACATTTCAACCATAAGTATACTGGGGTGGGTTTGGGATGGGGAGGGAACATTATAATGGATTTCTGTAAATTTAAGCATGAGTATTCAATACAAGGTGTGTCAAGATTGTCCATTTATTTATAAAACTTGTTGAAGAAAGCAATCTATGTAATGTATTAAATTAAAATTTAAAGAGTAGTTTCTATTTAGTTCCCAGTTCTTTTAACGTAGAGATTGCCAAATTGTGGAAGAGCTGGGATGAAAGAGATGGGCAAACTAAGCTGGATGGACTGGTTTAAAGAAATGCCACCATTGCAGTTTGGTTGCTACAGCTGCACTATGGGGTGATCTCAGCAAAGATTGTTTGAATTCTAGTCAGGTTATTGAGCAGATATTGGCCTATGCAATCATTCCAAATCCTGCCCTGAACTTACAGCTGGCATGTCACATCTAGCGTTCTGTTTGCCATGAGACGATGCCAATACTTTCTGGGCTTAGTGAGAAAAATCGTCAAAGGTGAAAAGGTGGGAAGAGGTTGCTCTGCAAGATAATATTTGGTAAACCTCTACTTTTAAGACCAAGATTGATTACAACAAGTTAATTTTGTTACATGGTGAATTGTTTTATAAAATGCAGTGCTATAAACTTGCAGATTTGCACAGTTTTTTTCCTTTTTCTTCCTTTTTTGTCTTCCCTTTTTTATTACAGAATTTGACAGAAGACATTGGCCAAGACGACCAGCAAACAGGTTTGTGATTTTCTTTTTTCCCTTTCTCCTGCACTAGCGGGATCATCAGTGAAATTCAGCTTTACCAACTTGTATAATGTTGACTGTGAATGGAACAACTCCAGTGGTTGGTCAGTTTTTGTTTTTGAACAGCTATGGGATATATCCCATTTTATGGCTGTGAAAATATTTGTACAATCAATGACATGACACCTTCCATGATTGATTGAAATGCTATTAGGTTTTGTAATGTATCTTAGAATGCTGAAAAATAATATAGCTTGGGCAACAATGTACCAATGACCTTTTGTGAAAGAATAAACAAACAAATTTGGAGGCATGGTTTGACTAAGGACCAAAACAAGGATCAATACAAGGGGGGAGGATATGGCTGAGGTACTTTGTTGACCAAGAAAGACAGTGTTCAAAAGGTGCAATGTTTCTGAAGCCATAGTGAGGAAAGAAGTAGTGATATTGAATAACAGTTGATAGATTGAGGATATTAAGCACATTGGTTATATTTAAAACATAAGAAGTAATCAAGATTGTTATGGGTTTGATTCAAGGATACAGAAGTAAGGGGTCTCTTAAGGTACTGCGTCCCTAACTCCTGGGCTAGAAAGTCTGCAGTCAAGTCCCATTAGCTCCAGACACGTCATAATGTGTCTGATCACGTTGATTTAAAAACATCTGCTAAGATGTAAGACGGGAAATTTTGGATGCTGTGGCCATTGAATTTTGAATTTTTCTCTGGCCACGAGAGGTGCCAGAGGACTAGTAATATGGTGCCATTATTTAAGAAAGGAGCAAGGGATAAACCAGGAAATCACAGGCCACGCAGTCTGACCACTGTGTGAAAACTATTAGAAGCAATTCTGAAAGACAGATTAATCTGCTGTTGCAGAGTCAGGGATTAATCAAGAACAGCCAACATGGTTTTGTCAAGGGCGGGTCATGTCTGACCAACTTGATTGAATTTTTGGAGAGGTGACATGTAGATGAGAATGCTACTTTTGGTGTAATCTTTTTGGGCTTCAGCAATGCTTTTGACAAGATCCTGCATGGGAAACTGATAAAGGTAAGTGCGCATGGGTTTCTAGGAAATTTGGCTAATTGGATTCACAATTGACTGAATGGCAGGAAGCAGAGGGTGATGGTCAGAGGGTGTTTTTGTGACTGGAAGCCTGTGTCCGGGGAGGGGGGTTCCACAGTGATCAGTGTTGGGGCCCTTGCTGTTTGTGGTGTATATATAAACCATTTAGACTCGAATGGAGGAGGATTGCAAAAATTAGTAGCGAGGTAAATAGAGAGGAGGATAGCCTTCGATTACAGGATGGTATAGTGATCTGGTTAAATGGGCTGATCAATGGAAATGGAATTCAATCTGGGTAAGTATGAAGTGATGTATTTGGGCAGGACAAGCCAGGCTAGTGAATACCATGATGAATAGTGGGACCCTGGGAAGCACCAAGGATCAGAGGGACCTTGGTGTGCATGTCCACTATTTGTGGGCAGCACGGTGGCTCAGTGGTTAGCACTGCTGCCTCAAAGCGCCAGGGACTCAGATTCGATTCCAGCCTCCGGTGACCGCCTGTGTCTGTGTGAGTTTCCTTTGGGTGCTCTGGTTTCCTCCCACAGTCCAAAGACGTGCAAGTCAGGTGGATTGACCGTACTAAATTGTCCATAATGTGCAGGGATCTATTGGTTAGGGTGCGTTAGCCATGAGCAATGCAGGGATTGGATAGGAGGATGGGTCTGTGTTGTATGATCTTTGGAGGGTCAGTGCGGACTTGTTGGGCCGAATGGCCTGTTTCCCCACTGTGGGGATTCTACGATGAAGGTCTTAAGGCAGTGGCTCAAGTAGATAAAGTGGTTAAGGAGGCATATGGGACATTTGACTTTTATTAACCAAGGTGTAGAGTTTAAGCAATGGGAGATTATGCTAGAATTGTACAAAACTTTACTTGAACTAGTGTAGATTAAGTAGCCGAGCCTGCATGGATTTTGTAAAGCAACCAACTTGATTTTTGTTTTAATGGTAATTTGGTTGATGATATATGTGGACATGTAAAGAGATGTTTGATAAAATGTCGTAAATAGTAAAGTCAATGGATATGAAGTTGCTGACTGAGAAAAGGAGTGGTGGTGAACCTTCTCTTGAAATTAGGGGAAGGCATATAGTGGGGCTTCGAAGGGCTGAAATGAGGACCACTGCTCTCCCTGATATACATTAGTAATCTAAGTTAGCAGTATTGTAATTTCCAATTGCAGATTTTAAAATTTGCACAATATACGCCTGAAAAGTTAATGAGAAGGAATATGATATACTTAAAGAGAAATTAGGCTATGTGCCAACTAAGTGTAATGCAGTGATACATTTTAATAGCAAAAGCAAAGAGAGGCAAAATGAAATAGAGTGAAATTCTAATAGGAATGAGGGAAAGAAGCAGCTTGTGGTATAAATAACGAATCGTATGAAGGTGGGGTTGGGCAAGTAGAGAAAATGGGTGAAGAGACCGGGGGATCCTAGCCATGTGTACAAAAAGAGGCATTGAGTTCAAAAACAAATCAAGTACTGCGAACTTTTTTATAAACTACTATTTTAACTTCAATTAAAATATTGTCCGATTCTGGTAATTGAATTTTAAGGAAAATGTGAATTCTTTAGAGAAAGTTCACAAAAAGATTTATAAGAATGGTTCTGGGATGAAGGTCTGCAGGTGTGTGATGTGGAGCTGTCAGTGTTGGACTGGGGTGGACAAAATCACAAGTCACGTGACACCAGGTCATAGTCCAACCAATTTTTATTTGAAATCACTGGCTTTTGGAGTGCTGCTCCTTTGTCAGGTCAAGTGAAGGGAAGTACACAGACACAGAATATGTAGGCAGAGAGATCAAAATATTGTACAAATGGTGTGAGTGGAGTGTTGACAGGCTGAATAACAAGTCTGCAGGTGATCAAAAGTGTCAGATGGTGTGTGTAAAGTGTCAACAGCTGAATAGCAATTGAAGGGATGACCTATGATATGACCTGACTGCTGCTGCTAGCCCCTGAAAGGTCATCCCCTTCGTCCAATAGTATCCAAAGTGGTATACCAGTTATTGAGAGGAATGGCCAGAGGGGAGTCCTGCACTGTCTGCAACCTCCTCCTCCTCCTCCCCACTGTCCCCCCTCAAAAAAAAAAACCTCTTCTGGTGGTCACCCGGCTACCCGCAGCCTGCACCTTAGGAGTGACCATTTCACTATAGCTCTTATCAATGATGTTCTCTCTGCACCCAGATGATCCTGAGTACATTCAGCTCCAGCTCCCTAATGTGGTCTGTCAGGAGCTGCAGCTGGGTGCACTTCTCACAGGCATAGCCAGCAGAGACACTGGAAGTCTCCCTAATCTCTTCCAGAATTCTGTTATGACTTTCAGCTGCCCTCTGATTTGCTCTATTACTCTGACTCCACAGTCATAGAACAGGTGTACCTTCAGGACCTCTAGAGATGAGCAATGTATATGGCCTTGTTAGCACATTAAGAATAAATTCTAAGAAAATAACTATTTGACACTCTGCATTTGAAAATAGGCTTTCAAATGTAATAATGGGTAGGAAATCATGGCCTGCCGAGCGCAGAAGCAGAAAGTAGAATCTTCGTTGCATGGAGGAGTTGTACCTGCATTTGGAAGGGATTTAATGTATGCAATTAATTTGCTGCTTTGTACAATTTCGTAAGGAGTAGGCTATTCCACTACTTGAGCCTCTTCATCATTCACTCAGATCCTGATTTGATCTGTGCATCAACTCAACTTGTCCTTATCTGTGGATATGTGAATCCTGGTTTTAAATTTCAGGTGACGGTGTCCGTACCTGAAACTGAAGTTCATGTCCCAATCCAGAGACTTGAGCACAAAGTCTGACCTCTTGATGCAGCACTGCAGGAGTGCTGTTTTTTTTTAAGCTGAAGTGCTTAACCAAGGTCTTGTCTGTCCTGTCAGGGGCCTACAAAAAGTTCAAAACAAACAAGGCGTAACGTAATCTCTATCTGGGCCAGTATTTATTTGTCAACCCCAGGTTAAGAGTTGTGTATATTTCTGGCACAACCAAGGTAGCCAAATGACCTTCTGTGCTGATTTGTTCTATGCTTCTTGGATTTCACTGCTGATTCTGAGATCTAGTTATCTGCATGTTGGCTGCTGAGATTCCCTGTATTTAGAACAGTGACTTTAATTCTAACTGCTTTGATTAATTGAAAAACACTTTGGGATGTCTCAAAGTTTGGAGACTTTTTTATTACAAAATCTTTCCTTTTTTTGGCACTTTACAGCAAGGTGAAATTACATTTACATGGAGCTGATCTGAAAGTGAAAAACCTGAAATTTAATTCAAAAGTGAAAGTTCACCTTGCAACGTTATGCAGAAGAATTGCTTGTTTGAAATTAACTGTTAGGTTCCATGTGTAAAATGTTACTCTTGTCGCTATTGCGTTCTTTTAAATATTGGTGTATATAATATTCTATTATGCAGGAAATCTTCGATCTTGCAGTTGCCCCTCTGACTGCTGTAGCAAGGGCATGCCACCCAGGAAAAAGAGGAGACCCACAGTAGCAGATGATCTGACAGCTAAAAAAAGCAGGCATGATGGGTATGTTTTACTTTCCTTTTCTAAAAAAAAACTCCATATTCACAACAGTTCAGTGTAAAAACTTAAGATTTACTTTGCTGTCAAATTCGTAATTATTGGAAGAAAATCTCATTGAGTATATGTTGCAATGGCACCTTTATTTCCCCTTTCAAGGAGCAGAGGAATGGGAATGGGCCATTCAGACCTTGAGCCTGCTCCACCATTCGATAAGGTCATGGCTAACTCCATATTCCTGCTTTTGGTCCATATCCCTTATAAACTCTTGTTAAATAAAAGTATTCTGTCTCAGATTTAAATTAACCACCAATACTGCATCCGCTGCTGTTTGTGGAAGAGAGTTCCAAACATCTACCATGCTTTGAGTGTAAAAATGCTTCCTGAAATTTCTCCTGAACCATCTGGTCCAAATTCCCAGACTATGCCTCCAGTTCTAGAAACTCCAACCAATGGAAATTGTTTATCTACCCTGTCATTTCCTATTAACATCCTGAAGACTTTAATCAGATCGCCCTTCTAAATTGTAAGGAATCCCAAGGAAGCTGTGATCATAACAAGATAGAATTCACCATGCTGTTAGAATAATAGACTCCCAGCAGTGTGGAAGTAGACCGTTTGGCCCATTGAGTCCACACCGACTGCTCCTACAAGCATTCCACCTATATATATCCCCCCTCCTCCCACCACCATATCCCTGTAACCATGCATTTCCCATGGCTAATCCACCTAGCCTATACATCTGTGGAAACTACAAGCAATTTAGCATGGCCAATCCATCTAAACCTGCATGCCTTTGAACTGTGGGAGGAAACTGGAGCACCTGGAGGAAATCCATGTGGACACGGGGAGAATGTGCAAACTCCACACACACCGTTGCCCAAGAGCGGAGTCAAACCTGGATCCCTAGCGCTGTGAGGCAGTAGTGCACCAGTCTGAGACGGAGAAGCAGGAACCAGATGTAACTATAGTTACCTTTACTCAATTGTAATACCAAGACAAGAGTGAAGTGCTGGCCAGAGTTGATTGGAAGGGTAGTCTGACAGGGAAGATGGTGGAGCAGCAATGGTAGGACTTTCTGGGATAATTCAGGAGGCACAGCAGAAATTTTTCCCAAGGAAGCAGAAACATGGCTGACAAGGGTAGTCAGGGTCAGCATTAAAGCAAAAGAAAAAGCATACAATGTGGTAAAGATTAGTGGGATGCCAGAGGATCGGAAAGTCTTAAAAAACTGGAGGATAACTGAAAAAGCGATAAGGGGGAAGAAGATGAAATATGAGAGTAAGCTAGCTAGTAATATAAAGGAATATTGCAAGAATTTTTTTAGTTATTGAAAAGGTAAGAGAGAGAGGCAAGACTATACATTGGACTACTGGAAAATTAGGCTGGAGAAGCAGTAGTGGAGAACAAAGAAAGAGCAGAGAAACTAAACAGGTACTTTGTATCTGTTTTCACAGTGGAAGACGCTAGTAACAAAGCAGAACATAGAACTGTACAGCACAGGAACAGGCCCTTCGGCCAACTATATTGTGCCAAGCATGACGCCAAATCAAACTAATCCCTTCTGCCTGCCCTTGATCCATGTCTCTCCATTGCTTGCATATTCATGTGCTTATCTAAAAGTCCCTTAAATGTACCCATTGTATCTGCCTCCAATACCACCCCTGGCAGTGTTTCAGACTCCTACCATCCTGGTAAACCTCTTCTGCACCCTCTCCAGAGCCTCCACATCCTTCAAGAGAACTTCGTGAGTCAGGGCAGAGGTGAGTGTGGTGGCAGTCAAAAATGAGAAACTGAAAAGTCTGAAGGTGGATAAGTCACCTGGACCACATGGAGTATAGTTCTAAAGGAGATTGAAGGTGCAATGGTAGTAATCATTCAGGAATCACTGGAGTCAGGGAGGGTTGCAGAGGACTGAAAATGTAACACTCCTGTTTAAGAAGGGAGGGAAACAGAAAACCGGTAACTATAGGCTGGTTAGCCTGAAATCAGTTATCGGTAAGATTTTAGAGTCCATTATTAGGGATGAGATTGCAGAGTACTTGGAAGTATATGGTAATATAGTGCTGAGTCAGCACGGCTTAGTGAGGGGAGGTCATGCATGAAAAATCTGTTTGAGGAGATAATGAACAAGTTAAACAAAGTAGAGCTGGTGGACATGATCTGTTTGGATTTCCAGAAGGCCTTTCATAAGGTGCCACACAGGAGGCTGCTGAAAAAGATGAGAGCTAATGGTGTTAGGGGCAGTGTAGCGGCATGGATAGAGGATTGGCTGACAGAAGGCAGAAGGACTTGAACATGCTGGGTGAGTGGGAAAAGAAGTGATGGATAGAATACAATGTGGGAAGGTATTTGGTAGGAAGATTAGAGGTGTAGGTTCTTCTAACTGGGAAAGGCTTTGGAAATCTGAAGGATAAAGGGGCTTAGGAGTCTCTTAAGGTTAACATGCAGGTTTAGTTGGCGGTTAGGAAGACAAATGCGCTGTTGGCATTTATTTCGAGGATAGAAAACAAGTGCAGAGATGTATTGCTGAGGCTGTATAAGGCTCTGGTCAGACCGCATTTAGAATATTGTGAGCAGTTTTGGGTCCTGTATTGAAGAAAATATGTGTTGCTGTTGGAGGGGTCCACAGAAAGATTGCAAGAATGATTTCGGGGTGAAAGGCTTGTCATATGAGGAATCTTTGAGCACTCTGGGTCTGTACTCAATTGAGTTTACAAGGATGAGGGGGGATCTGATTGAAACTTTTAGGATACTGAGGCCTGGATGGAGTGGATGTGGTGTCGAGGTTTCCACTAGTAGGAGAGCCTAGGACCCGAGTGCGCAACCTCAAAGTGAAGGGTACGACCCTTCAGAACTGAGATGAGGAAGAATTTCTTGCCAGAGGGTGGTGAATCTGTGAAACTCATTCCCGCAGAGGGTTGTGGAGTCCAAGTCTTTGAACATATTTAAGACAGAGATAGGTTCTTAGTTAGGGAATCAAGAGTTATGGGGAGAAGGCAGGAGAATGGGGTTGAGAAACATGTTAGCTTTGATCGGATGACAGAACAGACTTGATGGGCTAAATAGCCTCATTTTCTTTCTGTATCTTATGGTCTAAAACCATAGAAAAGAGGCCTAATTTGTATAATCTCTCCTCATAACTTAACTCCTGAAGTCCATGTATCATTCTTGTAAACCTACATTTTACTCTCTCAAATGCCAATATATCCTTCCTAATGTGTGGTGCCCAGATCTGCTCATAGTACTCTAAATAGGATCCAACCAGGATTTTGTACAACAGTAGCTTAACTTCTGCATTTTTGTACTTTAGTCCTCTAGATTAAAATGCTGGCCTTTTTTTTTTTGCTTCCTTGTTTTTCTCTTGCTCTCTAAACCTAGTCACTTGGTCCTGTACATTGAAATAAGCTTTAAAATTTTATTGATTGATTGAATCTAAAGCCTGATTTGCACCTAATATTGCACCTAACATTGAAATTTTCTTGAATTTACATGAATTTCTATTTTTCTCATAAATCACATTTGGTGGTTAAAAATGTTTTACCACTCTGAAAAATATGCAAAGAAAGTTACAGTTATGTTTGTCACCAAAAACTGGACTGTAGACACAAGTGGAAAGATGAAAGCTGAAGAGTTTAGTTCAATTATGTTGAGAAATGTGAGCACCCAGTTAATGCCAGAAGACTAATATCTTGTTGTAGATTTGTGGAATGATTGATTCTTTATCATAATTTAGGAGAAAATTGAAGTATAGAATCAAAAAATGCTAGATGTTTTGAATAATCAGCTAATACACCTTGCATGCTTTCTTTGTCAAGAAAGGGCATTTGCTACTCAAAGAAGTAGAAGTCTGCACTAAGGCATAGGTTGATTTCAGCCATTCTCATAGCAGAAGTGTTAACTTATTGTTGCTTAAGGTTGTGTGCTTTTTATATGCAAATGATAATGTTTAATTTTTTTTCATTATTCATGAGGAATTTCATGAAATACTTTGTTAATTAATGGTTTTGACTGGTAAGTTGTCAATCATGAAAGATTTTTGTTTCTTTCGAGAAAGGAAACCTTGTATTTTGTTAAATAAAGTATAGATAGAAAATTGTTTACCATTCTCATGAGTGGAATATATTAGGCAGTCATTTGTCTTCTGCTAGATTTTGTGATAATTTTACTTCCTTTCAATCATGTAATGCCCGGTGACCAAAAGAGATCCTAATTTTTTTTCAAAAACTATATTAACCAGTTTAAATTCTGTTTTTTTTTAAATGGCTCTTGCTTGATTTTAAAATGCTGCTATTAAACACAATGAGCACTTTGGCTACTCTGGAAATTTCTAGCAAATACCAGGACAAAATCAAACTCATCACTTTTTGGAAAGTGGCACTCCTTGCATTGTATGAACTTCCAACCAAGCCAACACAATGGAATAGTCTACCTCATTCTGTCCTAAACAAAGGAGACCATCACAACCTACTTTCACGTCTTGGTGCTAATGACGCCACAGTTATCTGCTGAAAAGCAATGGTTTCTGCCAAAGGGACATCAGATACACCTCCTTAGCTGAGTGTCTCAACCTGAAACTTCATTCACATGATTCAAATTGCTGGTTTGATTGAATAGTCTTTAATTTACAGTTTTTGACTTCTTTACTCAGTTTGCTTGTAATAGCAGAAGAGCAAGCAGTTCCAGGCTTAGCTGCCTGTTATCTCAATCTCTCAAAAATCTGATTCTGGAATGAATCCTGTATTTTGCCTGCAGAGTGAACCAATTCCCAGCTTACAACTCTGCACTTTACTCAGCAGTTCGACTGCATTGTTGACGGGTGAGGACATGATGGCCTGATTGGCCTCCTGTGCTGAAAACATCCAAGTCTGTGCATCTGCGCTCCTGTGGAATGGACTTCTGTGCACAGCCAACTGAGATCCTCCATTGGCACTGACTTACTGGATTCTCTAATTCATGTGAACTAATTCTGATATCTTTGATTATAAGTAACTTGTAATCCATCTTTTCGTTTCTCTCTCTTTCTTTCTTGGATGCAAGTACATGTGAATGCATGTTATAAAGTACTCCCCCAAATTTTGAATGCAATAGTAAACTGTATTTGCTTTAACCCCAAAGAAATTGCTGTGGGTTATTTTTAAATTGGACTTCACAAAACTGATAGTGGTATGTTTCCCCAAACCCTATTTCAAAAAGAAAATAGATAAAGAATTTTTTTTTAAAAAACCTTTTACAAATAGGAGAACTGTTTAATAAGCAAATTCAATTCTCCCACTTGTCTGTGACATTGGTGTGAAATAAATACTTCAAACTGCTCTGAGGAAGGGTCCCTTGACCCAAAATGTTAACTGTAATTTCTCTCTACAGATGCTGCCAGACCTGCTGAGCTTTTCCAGCAGTTCTGTTTTTACTTCAAAACACTTTTATCTTTCATTTGAAGCAAATGTCTATCAAACATTGTGCAGGTTAGCTGGATGTTTTTCACCTAAACGTTAATAAGCTTGTGGCATAGCAACGTTGGAAAATGTTGAAGCAGGATACTATAGGGTAAATATGTTCAAATGGATTGGTTAATAGAAGCTGACTAATTGAATTATCGACCAAATGGACAAACTTTTTGACTATATTAGTTTTCTGTTCTTAATTTTGTTTTCCAGATGTCATTGCTTGTTTTTGTTTGAATGATAGGTTATGTTAAAGATGCTGCATTTCACACGACCATCAAATTTACCCGAGGCTTGTCTGAAAGCCCTATCAAGGCTCTATTGAACAGCTATTCCATTTTGGTCATCTTTGCTTTTGTGCCATTGCTTAACTGACTGAAAGCTGCAGCCTGGACTTTTAGCTGATAACTTTTTCAGCAATTCCAGAAAATTCAGTCCTTTGTGTTTAAAATTCAGACTACTATACCAAGTTGAGAGCGTAGTTTGGCATTTGTGAGTTTGAATCTTTGATCCAAATATGACTATTACGAGCCAATATTGAAATCACTTCAGCAGGTATGCTTTGTAAACGCAGTAGTGAATCTGGGACAATCCCTTGTCATTTCCTACAGTCTGACTCCAAAGCTTCATATTTAGATTGTGTGCATGGACTTGTGGTTTGAGGCCTTGTCACTTCATTTTTTGGATTACCTTTTAGATACAATGGTCAAGTATCCTCTCTTTCTTTTTTTTTGTTAACTTCCGTTTATGAAGCAAGACTTGAGTCTTGTGTACAAATCTATACAGAAGCTCTAATTCAACCAGCGGTTTCATAACATCAAGATTTGGTTCTTGATGCTCAACATGTGTACAGTGCAATCATTTATGCACGCTGACAAAGGAGGTTATAGGATGTCATATGACCAAGAGTATTGCTTTTATCTTTTTCTACAGACTTGGGGATTGTCATTTGAAGAGGGAATTACTTAATGGATCCATGCTGAAGAATGAACAAATGATGTGCAATGAAGATGCCATTTGATGCCACCTTTCCATAGGGCTAATGACTACAGTGCTTAATCTACAGAAACGAAATACTAGGTTTTTTTACTTGTTCTTGATTTAACACTTGCTTCAGCTCTGATTACATTGCACTTGTGTTAAGAACAACAAATATAGCATTTTTAGACTCTTTGATTTCCCATTAGTTGGCTGTAAGGTAACTTGCAGTTGTCATGGGTTGGTTTAGTAAATGTCTCCAAATTACTAAGTTTAAAGTTGCGCCTTTACCTTGCTAACTTTTTGCAACAGGCTATCTGACCCCTCAAAGCCTTTCAACAATCTGCAAGGCACGTGTTAGGAGTATAACTGCATATCTTGTCTCTCCCCTGTGGCTACAGCGGCAACCATGGTCAAGAAGCTTAGCACTATCCAGGATAACATTGCAGCAATGTACTAAGGTTACCTTGGCATCACCTCCCTCTCATGTGGCCTCAAACACCATGAAGAACATGAGAAGTAACTGCTTACGTTATACAATAAGGGGAAATGTATATGAATGTGTTTGTGATGTGAATAACATGAGAGACAGCAGATGTTTTACACCTGAAGGCATTGGCTAAAAGATATTTTCATGATGCTTTTGAAGATTGAGAGAACTGTATCTTGGTAGAGTGTTTTAAGACAAAATTGTAGAATGTGATAGGATCAAGATAGCTGAAAGATCGACCATTGCAGATTGAAGTGGGAAAGGGAAGAGACAAAGAAAGCAAGTGTCTACAGAAGTGTGGTGAATACTGGAAGACCCCTTAATGATAAAGGGCGTCTAAAATATAAAAACAAGTTGTAACTGAGGAGAACGATTTTTGAATGGAGAAGCAATGGAAGTGGATGAGTCTAATGCTAAAAAGTAGATTTGAACAGGATAGTAAGCTTTAGTCAAGTTAAATTTTCCTTATGGCCTAGGCCTTTAAGTGGTGAAATTTAAATTGTCATTAACTTTTGAATGTATTAAATCGGAGATGTCATGGGGAATCAGTGGTTTATTGAAATGTAAGGTTAAACAGTTTTCCTAATTTTTGTATAACATTTAATTTCAGGAGCTTGTTTCTTGGACCTTTTTCAGAGTTTAGTGTATGCTGACTTTCTTCCTCGGAAGGTATTATCCCAGGTAGATGCTCATTACTGTGTCTACAAAGGAGTGTCTTACTTATGTGAAGAGAGATCTGCTGGAGAAAGTGTTTTATTGTTAGTGAAAACCCCTTTCGTTTAAAGGCATATGTTTCCAAATGTTACAGCTAATGTGTAAAATCAGGTAACTAGTATCAGAATTTAAGATGAACTGTTTGCATGATATATTTTGTCTTTTCTATAGAAGCATGTACAAGAAGCAAGACTCAAATAGGATGAAGTCTGAAGAGGAAGGTTTCTCCACTAAGCGATGCTTGGAGTGGTTCTATGAGTATGCAGGTATGTCTAAATGTTAGAGTTCAATGCTAACTAATCAACATGTCCTTGAGATCATGGCTGTTAACTTAGAATCCACAATACTTTCCAAGAATTTCCACAAAATAATGTCTACCAGGTGATAGAGACAAATGTATGGCAGGGAAAGGGAAGGAAGAATTAAAAACAAGCTTATCACATTTCATAAATTATTGGTAGTTGGTGTTAGTCCCAAACACATAATTGTTGAGATGCTTACAACCAAAGCTCCTGAGTACTCTACCTTCTTTGCGGGATCAACATGGCTTACAACAGTTAGTGTCACATTTACTTTCTTAGTTGGAGAGTTGCGGAGGTTGGAAGCTGACTATTACTGTACAACTGCAGTTGTACAAGACTTGATATTTGTAAAATTTATACTTAAAACAAAACTAGCATGTTGCATTTGTGTCAGTTACTTGCATAGTTAAATAACATTTGATAAACTGATGGTTTGGTTTGCAAAATTATGGAGTTATACAGCTTGGAAACGGAGACCCTTCGGTCCAAGCAATCCATACCAACCATGTTCCCAAATTAAACTAGTCCCACCTGCCTGTGTTTGGCCATTTTCCTCCAAATATTTCTTCTTCATGTACTTATCCAAATGTTTTTTAAACGTTGTAACTGTACCTGCATCCACTGCTTCCCAAGCAGTTCAGTCCACACACAACCCACTCTGTTTTTAAAAGATAAAGTTACCCCTCAGTCCTTTTAAAATCTTTCTCCTCTTCTCTTAAAAAATATGGCCCCTAGTTTTCCTGGGATGTTGCTCTATTATACAGTCGGTGAGAAGGAAACAAGCTTATAGGAAGTTTTTTCTTGTAAATGAAGATGGTAACCTGCATTGAGCCTTTAAAAACACTGACATACAGTGTGACTGGCTGTGACTTGTGAATTGATGTTAAACCACATGTAAAACCAGTTCAGTTGGTATGAACTGGAATGTTAGCTGAGTCACATTTTTTCCCTTTACGTCTGGTTTGTCTGATAAGACTATAAGACATAGAAGCAGAAGCAGGCCATTCAGCCCATTGAATCTGTTCCATGTGATCATGACTGATCTGATAGTCCACAACTTTTTTTTTTTTTTTTTTTTTGCCTTTTTCCCATAACCCTTGATTTACTTACTGATTAAAAATCTATTTCGGCCTTGAATATACTTCATGACCTAACATCAACAGCCATCTGTGATAAAGAATTCCTCAGATTCACTACCCTCTTAAAAAGGAAATTCCTCCTTGTCTGTCATAACCTAGCAGCTCCTTACTGTGTGATTATACCCTTTGGTCCTAAGCTCTCCCATAAGGAGAACTGTTCTTGCTAAGTCACCTAAGAATCATGTATATTTCAACAACATAGCCTGTCATTCTTCTAAACGCCAATGAGTACAGACCCAATCTACTCAACCTCTCCTCATAAGACAATATCTAAGATAATCTAATGAATTTTCTTTGGACTGCCTTCAATGCTAGTATATCTTTCCTTGGATAAGGGGACAGAGTTGTTCATAGCATTCCAGCTGCGCTGACTAGGGTCTTGTATAGTTTTAGTAAAACCACTTTTTAGATTCTATCCCCGTTGAAATAAAGGCCATCTTTCCATTTGCCTTCCCTATTACTTGCTGAACTTGTACCCTAGTTGTTTTTTGTGATTTGTGCATGCGAAATCCCAAATCTGTGCTGTAGTTTTCTGCAGGCTGATCCATTTAAATAATGTTCAGCCCCACTTCTTCCTACCAAAGTGCATAACCTCACATTTTTCCAATATTGCATTCTATCCAGCAAGAGATTGTTGTCGTCATCACCATTCGTCTTCCAATCTATTTTTGCATCACCTGCAAAGTTGGCTGTAGTATATTCACTTCATCATTCAAGCTATGACTATATATTGTAAATAATTGTGACCCTGGCACTGATCCCTGTGCACACCCCTGCCAACCATTTGCTCTTATAAGTAGTTATCTATCTACCCTGTTTTTAAAAATATTTAAACATTCTACATTCATTGCCTTTTGAGGAAGGGAATTCCAAAGACACATGACCCTGAGAATTACAAAGGGATCTTGATGAAATGGATCAATGGACTGAAAAATGACAGAGTTCAATCTGGATAAATGCTAGATATTGCATTTGGTACAACGAACAAGGGTAGGGCCTTAAGTAGTGTTGTAGAACAGAGGGACCTAGAGATTCATGTACATAATTCTTTGAAATTTGCATCTCATATAGGTAGGGTGGTTAAGAAGGCATTTAACATGCTTGCCTTCATTGCTCAGTCCTTTTGAGTATAGGGGTTGGGACATTACGTTGAAGTTGTCTCGGACATTGGTGAAGCCTCTTCTGAAGTACTGTGTCCACTTCTGGTTGCCCAGTTATGGGAATGTTGTTCTTAAGATGGAGAAGGTTCAGAAGAGATTTACCAGGATCTTGCCAGATATGGAAGGTTTGAGTTATAAAGAAAGGCTGGGAATTCAGTCACTGGAACGTAGGAGGTTGAGAAGCGACCTTACAGAAGTTCATAAAATAACGAGGGGTGTAGATAGAGTTAATTGTAATTGTTTTTTCCCTAGGATGGGAGATTAAGACTAAGGGGCACATTTTTAAGGTGAGAGGAGAGAGACTTTAAGACATGAGGGGCAAATCTTTTACACAGAGGGTGGTTCATGTGTGGAATGAACTTCCAGAGGAAGTAGTGGATGAGGGTACAATTACAACATTTGGACAAGTACATGAATAGGAAAGGTTTGGAGTGATGTGGGCCAGGAGCAGGCAGGTGGGACTAGTTTAGTTTGGGATTATGTTCAACGTGGACTGATTTTGACCAAAGACTCTCTTCCCATGTTCTGTGACTCTATCTCTCTTAGATGGGCAACCTCTCACTTTTGAACCACCTTTCCTAGTCCTAGATTCTCCCACTAGAGTAAACGTCATTTCAACATTCACCTGGTCAAGATACCTCTAAACTTTAGACAGGCTAGGCCTGTACTCTAACCTTTCCTCATAGGGCGTGATTTCCCCTTCATGAAGCCAAACTGACTCTGCTTGAATATGTTATGTAAATATAGGCAGGCTGACGAGCAGCAAATGGGACTTAATCCTAAAAACATCATCAAAGATCCCTCCCACCCGGTTGATGCTGTCCTACAACCTCTTCCATTGGGCAGAAGATACAGAAGCTTGAACACACGCACCAACAGGTTCAAGAACAGTTTTTTTTTTTCCCTGCTGTTATTAGACTGAATGGACTATCTAACTTCAAATAATGCTGATTTTGTTCATGTTGATCTTGCTTTGTGCACCTCTTGTGCATTGTAATCTGTTTGCCTCACTCTGTCTGAGCACCCTACGCTCTGTATGTCCGTGCTTACTAAGATCTGCCTGTACTGCTCGCAAACAAAGCTTTTCACTGTACTTCAGTATACGTGACCACTAAGTGCAATCAAATCAAAATGTCAGGTGATGCATTTAGGGAGGGCTAACAAGGCAGGGGAGTAAATGTTGAACAGTTGACCTTGCAAGTACACAAGGTGAAAAAGACGATGTGTGTATGTCCATATGTCCTTGAAGGCAGCAGGACAGAGTAGATAAGGTATTTAAGAATGCACATGGAATATTTGCCTTAGTCAAGTCATTGAGAACAAAAGCTAGGAGGTTATGACGAGATCTCGAGTTCTGAAGAAGGGTCATTGAATCTGAAATGTTAAATCTGCTTTCACTCCTCAGATGCTGAGTTTTCCCCGAATATCTATTTTTGTTTCTGATTTCCAGCATCTGCAAATCTTTTGGGTTATTTTATGAAGGCTAGGGTTGTTTTCTGAGTTGAGGAGGTTGGGAGTGGGGGAT